GTGGAGGAAAGAAGAAAGCTCCGGCGCAGTTAAGGATTTATAACCTTGGGAATACGTCGCCGGTGCCGGTAGGGAAATTGGTGTCGGTGCTTGAGAATCTGTTGAATACAAAGGCGAAAAAGCATATAATTACTATGCCACGAAACGGCGACGTTCCGTTTACTCATGCGAATGTTAGTTTAGCGTTTAAGGATTTCGGGTACAAACCATCCACGGATCTACCCACGGGGCTCCGGAAGTTCGTGAAGTGGTACGTTGGGTATTATGGAATTCAGTCGAGGGTAAAAAAGGAAAATGAGAAAAATAATAATCAGTCACCCGGGGAATCCGCTTGATTGGTTTTTTATTTTTCTTATTTCTTTTTTTTATTCCGTCGTCGTCGTCGTCACATGGCCTTCGTCGACTTGTCGTCTCTTTTCCTCTTTTCCCTTTTTTTTTTTTGTTTACTTATTTATAATTATAATTATTATTGCTATCGTGGTTTCGGCTGTAGAGGATCGAAGGAATCCACAGCTGTTGTTCATGTTGTAGAAAAAAAATAGATACAATTTATATGAAAAATAATATTCTGTAATTTCATACCAAAAGGGAAATAGGAGAGAGAAAGTGGGAAGTGGAAATGTCGAAGAGAGAGAGAGATGAATGATGTAATAATTGGAAGGCGTGGGGTCCACTAGAATGGTTGTGGATCTCAGCCGTTGATTTCATGTGATAAAAAATTATTCATTTTCCATCCATATTATGTTTATTTTGTTTTTTTATTCTAAAAATTATTCTTTATAATTTTATCCTTAAACTTTGTTGTCACTTTTTTTTTTTTTTGAGAAATTATAAAAATATTCATATAAGTAAATACATATATATGAGTGAATTAATTTTTTTAAAAAAAATTCACGATTTTGAAGTATTATTACAAAATTATATGTAGATGGGTCACCTTAAACTCGACGCATAAATTCCATTTAAACGAATAATGGAAAGAGAGTGACGAGAGATTTCTCTCCCTTATCCGAACCGAATCGGAGATGAAGATTACATTTACTGTCCCCATCTTAAACCCCTACCCGACCTCACTTTCATATATACTTAGTAAATAAATAAATAAATAATTATAATATATATATATATATATTAAAATTTCGATTTTTAGAAATTAGGTTATAAGTTACACTTTTTTTTATTTTTTTATTCGTATGAAATATTATAAGAATTTTTTAATGATGTTTTGCATTTTTTATAATAGAAACTATATTGAAAAATTAACATAATCTAATTAATATATATATCTGATGAATTTCTTGTAGAAGAGAATCCCTACCTAAAACATAACACAAGGAATGTTCTAATTTTCTAGAACAGAAAAACATCATATATCTAAAAACTAGATTCTTGTCTAATTCCAAAATATGAAAAATCCCAATTAATTCTCAGTAAAGGGTCAACTCCGTTACAAACCTAAATGAATCTAAAATTATCAAAATATAACCCATTCAAATATTCGGCACTCACATCATATAAAAATATATTACGATATCAATATATATATATATATATATTTCCAGTTCTCTATTATAAAGTTATGTAAATTTAATGATACGAATAATGTGTCATATATTATTTTTTTTCCTAATGTTTTGAGCGGATGAATATGAAATTCCGAGAATAGGCTCAGGCTCTGTACGGCTTAGTTAGTCTTTTTTGGATCCAAAGAAAGAGACCATGTCTTCATCCATAGGGTCCCAAGACATTCCTATCATATTATTCTAAAGAAAAAAAAAAGATTGTGTGTTGGTTAATTTAAGATATCGTTTATGGGACATGTAATATAATATAAGCTTAAATAATTGTGTTGTATTAGGTGTCTTTACTCCTAAGCCAAAGTATTTTAGAAGTGGATGTGTCGAGGACAATAGAAGTTAGGATTGTTTAAATGGCTCGAGAATTTGACCAGTTCGAACTATCTAATCCAAACCATAAAAAAATTATTAGGTTATATATATATATAGAGTTGAATTTTTGAAAAATATCCTCTATAAAACTGTGATTATTATCTAATTTATAAATAACACAGAGAAAATATTTTGTACTTTAAAAAAAAAGTGGGAATTAATTGAGATAATCGTTAATTGGAGAGAAGTATTATAAAATAAATAAATAAATAAATAGGAAAATGTAGGGGGGCAAAATAGACATTGGTCACCTCCAACAAAGTCGATGCTGCCCACTACTTGCTTTCTCTCTCTAGGATTCCCTTTTTTCTTTCCGCCGACACTTTCTCTCTCTTCTATTCCCGTTATAAATATATATTTTCTTTATTCATAATGACATCATAATAAAATTATTTAATAATTTACTCGTGAGTTTTTATTTTTTTATTTTTTTATTTTTAAATCCAACAAATTCATAAATTTCAAGAATTATATCACTTAATATATATATATATATATATATATATATATATATATATATATATATGTTTATTTGCATGTTTGAGATGAGTCACTGAGTTGGGCCTGTAACGGACATGTTTGGGCCTGACCTTGATTTTACTCTGTGGATTAGCCCATTTACAGGCCCAATTACTGAGATTGAGGTCCACTACGGGATGCTTGGCAGAACACCAAAAGCCCCATTCGGCCCATTATAAATTTGGAATTTATTATATATATATATAGACACACACGTTACTTGCGTCGTTGGTGCAATCTATGCGAATTTGTGGCACCGTTGTTGAATCATTACCAATGATGTGCTATCTTAGATTGAACTGTAATAAGATAAGTCAACGTTCAATCTCTAAGGCGAGGTTTTACTGAGAACGGAATAATGTTCGTATCCAAAGGTGAATAGAGCCCCAACTTCTACAGTTCGCTATCAGGGAATCATGCTTCATGTGAAGGAAGTATTCGACTCGTAATCCAAAGATAAAAGATGGATAAGACCATTTGACAATTCGATCTTTTCGAAGAAATCCGAATTTCTAAACATAACCTTAAAGATATGGTAAACGTGATTAAATAAAAAAATATTAATTAAACTCTTATATACCAAACGAAAAAATATAGTAAAACTTGATCGGGCAAACTATCTCAAATAATTAATTTGCCTCGATGACCTACTCAAAACGATTAATTATCTTAATTAATACTATGCATATTTGAATATTTTATTTAATTAGTCACACATGTTTTAAAATTTTATTAATTTAATCTTTTATGTATTTTTTTTCTACGAGAAATTGAAAGTTTTATTATCTTATACATATTTTTATTAATCCGAAAAATATTATATTAAAGGGTTAAAAAGATTTAGTTTTATTTGTTAAGAATATTACTCCATTTAAAAAAATGACGAAAAACAAGAAATGACGAGTCGACACGTGTCAATTAGATACGGGTTTTGTGCTGCCACGTGGATGAGTAGCACCGTTGGAGAACAGCCGCGTCAAGGGAAACCAAGCCACGTGGGGTCTAGGAAGTGGTGGCTCTGAGTCTGACCCAGGTTGTTGAATGGTCCGTTTTTGGAACTGTTATCAAATAGTTTCTATTTTTCAAGAAAAAAAAAAAAAAAAAATCTTAGGATATAAAATTTATAATTAAAATTTCAAAGTAATTGTTGAAATTTATAATTAAAAATGCTTAAATTAAATTAAAATAAAAGTTTCACCCTAAACATAAAACTAAACTAAACTGCTCATAATTAATTCATTGACCGTTATATCAGTGAGAATCTATCCCCCTCTCATAATTTAATGGTGAAGTTTCATTTTCGTTACTACCGACACGTGTTTTATATTTATTTACAATGTTAATATAGACATTATCTATTGGCTCGGGTTGGTTCATGTAAAACTTGAATCGATCAAATTTGCTACTGCCAAACTAAACCAATTTTAAGCGGATAATGATTTAAATTATTTTGAGCTTCTCACGGCGAAGTTATTTTATTTTATTTTGGTTAATTTCTGATGATTTTGGAAAGCTTATTAGGTCAAATTAGTTTGTTTGGTATTAAAATCCAATATTGGTGCTTTAAAATAATTATAAAAAAAAAGTGGGCTATAATTTAAAATTTATAAAAATAGTTTAAAATTACAAAAAGCTCCCTATAATTTTAGCCATTTTTAAAATATGACCCTAATATGAGAAGGTTTGAACTCCTTTAAATAAACTTTTATTATTTATGTATTAAGTTCTTAACCTTTCTATTTTAGTATAAAATTATTATGAACTAATTAAACATATCAATACGCGACATCAACGTTCCATTAACTATAATTTCACGAAGGTGAGACTATCTATTAAGAAGGTTTAAAATGTTAAGAAAAAAAAAAATAATCGAAGGTGTTAACAACGTAATTAAAATCTTAATATTCTTAAATTTTTTAAAATTATAGGACTACTTTTAAGTAATAAATAATGTATTTATTTATTGAAGTATGCAAGTTAGAGGATATGCTTTATCGTTATATTCATTAAAACAAGACTAAAATAATAATTTTTTTTTTTGATATATGCATTTTCTATATAAAAAAAATAATCTTTAAAAAATACTTTACTATATATATTAGAAAGTTATTTAAATTTTGAAAAGATAAAAAGAATATCCAAACTTTTTTCAAAATAATATGATATTTATCTATTTTAAAAAAATAATAATATCCTTAATTTTTTTTTTTTAAAATTTTAAAATCATCATATCACTTCTTGGTCCAGAATATTTTTAAAATTTTTAAAAATTTTATGAATAAAAATTTGAAAGTTAATATATATTTAAAACACTTTAACAATTTCAATTTAAATGTAAAGGATGTATTTATTCATTTTATATAAAATACAAAATATTAATTTTTGAAGACATTTACCACTCTCTCGCTTGCGCGTGACCTCCAATCACCGAAAAAATATAAAAAATGAAAAAAAAAGAAGAGAGAGAAAGGGAGAGAGAAATAGAAATAAAAAGGATGTAATCAGTAGGAAGGGGGGAGTTTGAGGTATTCTCAAATCGTTTTCTCTATTTTTTCTTGAGAATAGTTGGGGGAATCAGAGACAGAGATACGCCCAAAGAGAAACAAAGAAGGAAACACAGTAGAACCAGAGAAGAAAACCTCAATTTTACACACTAAATACACTCAAATCTCTTCTCACACAACAAGAGAAGCGAAAGAAGAGAGAATCTAGAGCTACAAAGAGCTTTTCCCCCCCAAATTTGGACTTGTTTTGTTGCTTTTCTTCCTCGTTTCCATCTTTTCCATTCATTATGCCTTCTGTTTCTTGTTAATCTCTGTTTGAGCGAGATACGAGAGAGATCTTGTCCTTCTACATTGCCTACTCTGTAGCGGACAAGGTAATCTCGCTACCCAATCGCCCAATCACTTTCTTTCATCCTCCCACTTGATTTCCCCCCTTGGAATTTCATCCTTATCCGCCTGAATCGAGCTGCGTTTGCCCTTTTAATCGATTCCCTATAATTGCATAGGTATTCTTTTTCAGGGTTTTGATTCTATCTATCCGTTTCTTTTCGCATTCGAAAAGATTTCTTTGGATTCCCAGGTTTTTTGTTTTTGAGTAATGGAAATTTAGGGTTTTGGTACTGCCTATGTGCTCATGTATTCGGTGGATTTTCTAGGGTTTTGACGGATCGTAACTGGGTGGCTCTCCAATTTATCGGTTTTGCACTAATTAGGGTTTGATATCGACTCTATGGATTGAAAGTATGATTGTGACTGGGACATCGGGCTTTCTCTAGAATGGGCTGGAGCTCCGATCGTTCGTAGGATTCTGGTTTTAGTCTGTTCTTTGCCAAGGCTGCGATTCTAAAACTGTAACGCACCACTAGAATGAAGTGAACTTTGCTGGTTTGATCATGGAAGAGGATTGCACATTATAGACTTGTTTTTGTCAGTGATCAGTCTCAATCCAATCAGTTTCTTGGATTACAAGGGATTTGCGATACTGTTTCTGGTGTTTCATCTCTAATTTGGGAATTCTATTGGTTTAAACAGGAGATTATAATCTGCCCAAGAGAAAAATCAAGAGACCATTGCGTTGAATCATCGACATTTTCCACGAATTGATCGGGAGAACTAATTTGTGCTAAAATTGTTTCCAAGGACTTCTTTTTGTCTGCGTTTCGATTGATATAGGTTTTCTCTTATATTCGGGAATCGGGTTAGAATTCGTTTAGTTCAGTGCCAGAGTTGGCTCATAATATATACACTTTTTGTTGAGAATTTTGGAAATATCTCTGTTGGCCTGTGCTTATTATTCCTGTACTTGTGTTTATAAGTCGGAAGAGTTCTCTGCGGTTTGGGAATTGCATCTGTGGGACTGACTAAGAAGCACATGGAGGAGTATTGAAGCTGGCAATGAATGCAAGGACATGGTGCATGGACAGCAGCTTAGTTTCTTGTTCGTTCCCTTTTCAGAACAGTGCTTCTGGAAAATAGTTTTAGCGTTTTCGCCTGTGGAAAAAGCTCGTGTTTTTTGTCTAAGTACTCTGCGTAATGTCGCGCTGCTTTCCATTTCCGCCACCGGGATATGAAAAGAAGTCTAGGGCTGAGGATGCGGACCTACTAAAAAAGGTTTATTGCTTACCTTGTCTTCACATACATATATTACTTGTGAGATATTTGATGGAGGAGAATTATTTAGTGGGACCTTTTGATTCTACATGGAGCATCCTACTAGTTCATTAGGCATTATTTCACAATTGGTCCTTCTATTTTCTTCAAGCATAAATGGTGTTATAAGTTGTTAGATTCCGTGCTGTTTCTTAAAAATTGAATATTATTCTGTATGGCCATTCCAAGTGTCCCAAGTAAAATGAACAATTCACATGTTAGTTGGACTAAAAGCAATGAATGTTAGTGGATCGTATGCTAGATCGTAGCTAATTAGATGATTTACGGGTAGCCCTCTGCCAGTTTTTATATCCTTGTCTCTTCACACTTCACACTTAACACAACAAGCCAGCTAGCTCGAAAATCTCGTGTGTCTTGGGGATGTCCTTGTGTGTCTTGAAAAATCTGAAAAGTATTTCGGCCACATGCATGTGTTTCTTCAGATAAATGGTAGCTGTAGATGGCAATATGTGCTTCTCACTTTGTTTTGTATTACAATGATGAAATTGTATGCCAATACTGTTGAGCAAGTAGACCATGTATATGAAAATGTCATGTTGTTTTTGGTCCTCTGTTTGATATAGCCTTTTCTTCGTTTGGTGAATGTTGCTGATTTTTTTCTGAAAGATATTTGTGAAAATAATGCTCTTCTACTTAGACATATATTTATACATGTTATTTGTAATCTGTCATTTTAAGCATTGTATCGTTGCATTGAATGGCTCATTATATCAGTGACCGAAAAATTTCCCGATAGTTTTTCTGAACTATTTTGTTGGGGAGCTGTTCAAATGGGAGTGTTTTCTTTCAATCTCTTTCAGCATAAGCTTGGACACAAGGATTAATCCGTTTCTTCAGAAGGAATCCTGATGATATCAAATCTTTTGATTCGATTTCTCATCGGCCTAATTTTATTGGGTTTCTAATAGTCTTGATTTGTTGATCTTTAGAATTCTTTGGGGATTTCCACGTCATATTTTCTCTTCTAGATCTTTAGCTTAAATTTCCCATCTTGTCTTGAGGACTTCCATTTTATTAACTACATTGTGAGGGTAAAGTTCGAGTAGGCTTGTTTGGTTGGTTACTTGGGAGAAGACCATTTTTGACATGCACATTCAAATGCGAACCTTAAGGCTCTCATGTGAAGCTAACATGGAAAAAAAACCCGTATAACCAAAACACTAGTTTCAAATCAGAATCCTAAGGCTCTCACTATTGGAAATTACAATTGAAGCGTATATAAAGAATATGGTCTGGAATATAGAATATTATCTACCTCTCCTTAATTGAAAATCTGACTATTTGAATTGAGCTAGCTGGCTTGTTGTGTGAAGAGAGAGGGATGAATAACTGGGAAATGAATTTTGAGATCTTGTGTGAGATACGAACACGAAAGGAGAAGTAAAAAATGAAAGCTTGGGCCAAGCATGGAAGATTAGTGAGATAAAGTTGGGCCTTGCTCTTGGAGAAGCTATTGAGATGATGAGGTGAGGATAATGGCTTGGTTTCTATATTTTTACCAACCATTAAAACTGGTATTTTTTTCGGGTAAAGTAGGAGGTTGCTGCCAGTGGTTCGTAATTTTCTGCCTTCTCAAACAAAGCTTAAATTTGGCTTGATTCATACGCGTTGGAGTCTTGTTTGTGATTCTAAATAAATTCGAAATCTCATCTTGAGGCGTCAAACTCATGTTAGGCCTCTGTTGATGGTGAGGAAATGTAACACCTACATTCTTGCTATGATTAGTGCTTCAGAGAAAATCTCTTTGATTATTGGAATTGTGATTGGTTTGCGTGTTTTTTGTAACGGATGGGTCTTCGATGAAGAACACCGAGAGGCTCTAGATCACTATTTCTGTGGAAGTTGTCGTAAAATATTCTTCTTGTTTTGATTTATAACAGTTAGATGAATGTGGGAGGACAGAGTTGTTTGTTAGATCTGTGTGGTTGTCTTCACTTCGATTGCTTCTTTTGTTTGAGTCTCTTTCCCGTTTCGTTTGTTTGATTTTTTTCCCTCTTTCAAATCTTTCTCTTTGCAACCTCATATTTGTAGCGTCGGATTCTTAATTTGTCGACTGTTTTTGGTGTCATTGTATTGCTTAGAACAAGTATAACTAATTAATCACTCTACAAAATGGTATTTCACAATCATGGATTTTAGTGGGAATAAGCTATGTTCTTGCATGAATTCTGTTATTTTCTATTGTTGACTGCAAAGTTTCAAAGCATTCCACCCTGCTGTCATTGATGAAATTAGCCATATTAATTAAAGCATGTTTTAGAAATTGCTGTTTGCAATGATCTTTTTCCTTTAACAGCATGTTATCTTCTCGTATTTCCTCTTTAAACACCAAGTTAAATTGGATGAACTGACCGCAGAGTATATATTTTACTAACTGATGCGAGTACAGATTCTATATTGTTTTGCTTTCTTATCTCTCATATTTTATGGAGATACACAGGCTTGATTGGGATTGTGGGTGGAGAGATCATGACATCATAGTGAACTCATAACGGCCGTGGTCGTATCTACTTTTGAATGCCGTCTCTGGGATGTCTGCATCTCTGATCCTTAACTTATGATAACCCGACCTCAGGTTGATCTTGGAGAATACTGAGGCACCTTGTAGCTGGTCAAATAAATCATATATGTGAGGCAATGGATACTTATTCTTAATTGTCACCTTATTCAATTCTCTATAGTCAATACACAACCGTAGAGTTCCGTCCTTAACGAACAATATTGGGGCTCTCCAAGGTGATACACTTAGTCTAATGAAGCCTTTATCCAGTAATTCCTGTAACTGGTCTGACCATCTGTACTGCATACATATCAATCTACCAGGTACTTCTCAATAGTGTACCCAATATGACTTCTGGGACCCTCTATGGATGACCACTAAACTCTGTCTACGAAGTAGACCCTAACTACTCTAGGAAAGTTCACGATTAGAGATTACTCCCCTATTGTCCCTGCTTGATACTTAGTCAACCTGAAATGCCTATGGAGCCCAAATGTAGGTTCAATGACTAAGGAAGTGTAAAATAGCAACTCAGGTTCATTCCGATATCATTCAAGACTCTCTAGGGTACATAGAAAATATCGAGCATACATGGGTGTCTAACCCCTATAAATTTGATTTGCTCCTTTTAGAATACACATTTTTGAGAAATGCCAAAGTTTTAGTGGATTTTGTGGGTTGGTTTATGAGATCTCCTTCAAACACTTGTAGAAACTTGAGATTTAGGGAGACCACCTTCTGACTAGGCTTTTGTGCTTTAATGCCTTGTTGATAGCAATTTCAGCTCCTCTTTCTTGTAGTATTCAAAGGAACAGGATCCTGAAGGGGTTGACAGTTTTCATTGATCCCTTACAAGTGACAACTTAAGGAGTTCACAAGGTTCAAAGAAGTTTTCATTCTCCTTAATGGTACAGTCTTTGTTAGAGATGCTGAAAACGAAAAACTTCGCCCCCTAGTTTTCAACTCGACGGTTTGTTGGTCTTACCTGAAAATTTTTGTTGAATGGTCAAACCCATGTTGTCTCCAGAACAAGAACGCTGTGAAAGAAGAGCGACTTTTGTACATAATCTTTGATAATTAGGGAAGGGTTATGTTTGGGGATCTTTTTCGTACACGGTTTCACTGTAACTAGACTGCATAGATAGTCGAAATAAAGAGCTTAACATTATTTGGTTCTTTTCTTCACAAGTTTTGATGTTTATGTTTTACGCTTCTCGCATTATAAGCGTCAATCTGAAACATTCATTACAATGTGCTGCATTCCTGGTTTAATTTGAATGCTTGAACCGGAGTCGGTATTGAATAAAATTTTAGGCCCTCGTGAGATTCGAAGGATTTGTTGGAAGCAGCACAGGTGCTTGATGTTTTGTGAAATTGTAAGAGGTGCTTGAGTATAGCACAGCGTCGAGTTCGCTCTCGTTCCATAGTTTATCACTACTCTGATGATGTTGTGTGTTGATGTTTAACGATTTCCTCATAATCTGAACTTTGTTCTGTTCTTTTTGAACGTTTCTTGTTGTTTCGATTCCAGTTTATAACAATGGTAGCCGAGTTTCGTGACTTGGTAGGCTAGCAAATTAGCATTTAGAAATTGTGAAAAGACGTGGTTTTACCCCTTATTTTGAATGATATTGCTCTAATACTTCTCTTTCTGATTGGCAGGAGAAAAGCAAAGAAAAAAAGCATAAAAAGGAGAAGAGGGAGGGTAAAGAAAAAAGAGATAAGGATAAAAGTGATGAGAAACGCCGTGAAAAGAAAGAAAAAAAGAAAGACAAAGACAAAGACAGGGACAGGGACAAGAAGAAGGATAGGGATAAGGAGAAGGAGAGTCGACCTTCGGGGAAAACTGGGAATCAAAATGGGGAGGCGGTTGTTCGAGTCAAACATAACAGTGTCGAAGACGAGAAGCATACTGCGCAACTCGATTCGTGCATTGGAAATAAGATTAGTCAGAATGCCTTTTTTCCTAAGGAGACGAAGAATTCAAAAACGGTGCAGGAGGTGGGGAGGAGAATTGAGGACGGTGGAGCTGCAAAGCTCGGGAAACTTGCAGTTGCACAACCGAAAAAGGACGACAGAATGGCCACACAGATGGCTAGGAATTCCGAGACCATGTTTGAAGGCATGGAACACAACAAGAACAAGAAAATTGATGAAAGAAACTACAATGGTCAAGGAATTAGACACGAGGAAAGGTTTAGTGGAAATTCCACGATCCCGAGTTCCACCACAACCGCAACTGCAACTGTTGAATCTGGAGTTGCAGGAATGGTTAAACAATTGGATAAAAGTGCCGAGAGAAAGAAAGAAGCAAACGATAAAATCGGACCGAAAGAAGGTGAAGAAAAACGAGGGAGCAAACACAAGGATAAAGATAAAGAGAAGAAAGGACGACGGGACGATAAAGAGAAGAAAAAGGAAAAGAAAGCGAAGAAGGCGGAAGAGAAGAACGCCATGGTAGATAAAACGAAAGAGATCAGTAAGGATAACGTATTAGGTAGACTTTCTACGAATACGAATACATCACAGCTTGCTGACAGCAACATAGGTGCTGCAGTTGAGGAAAACTTGATTAAGAAACGGAAGGATTTTGAGCCTAATGGAGTGTTGCATGGTGAGTGAGTTAATTTGAACTTGGTTCTAGTTTATAATGGTAACTTTTGTAGCTCTCAAAATGGTTTTCTTAATTTTCTTTCAGAAATCGACAACAGACCGAGTAAGTTGTCGAGACCCGCTTCTCATCCATTGAAAGAAAATGGTAGGATACTGGAACCGTGCTCGATTTCCCCGTCGCCACCTCCTTCAGAGAGACAGGCTTTGGGAAATGACGTTATTTTGGTTGGTAAAGAACGGAAGATTAATGGCGTCATTGACGCTCACCACCCACCTGCGTCTTCGAAACACAAGTCGGGCGGCCAAGACGATCATCCTCAACCTACTGCAACACCTAAAAGATCTCCCCATCCAGATTCGAAGCTCTTGAGCCAGGTATATTCAGTGCCCAAAATGGAGGAATTGTCTGATTCTGATAACCAAGATTGGTTATTTAGCAGCAGCAAACCCAAGTTAGAAGCTTCAGCGATGGCTGAGGATACGTCGCAGGTATGGGCCGAGGCAATCCAGATAGACTCGGTTGACGTTTTTGCTCTTCCTTACGTTATTCCGTACTGATGATCTCATAAACTGGACTCTATCTGACTGGGGTAGACCCCAACCTTGAATCGTGTCGGAGTGGGTGATTCACCGACAGCCTTGTCACACCAACTCCCTCGAACACGAGAGAGCACGGTTCTGCTCTTCTTCCACCGTGTTCCTGGCTCTGTTCTTGCAGCCGGGGCTGGACTTGATTTTGGTAAAATATCATGACTCTCATGTTGTTGATTGGATGGAACAGCATCTGGATTGATCTTGGTCGTTGAGGGGTGGGCACAATCGCCGGGCAACACGTCTTGGACAAGCATGACGGTGACACGGTGGTGGTTTTTGAGTTAGGAGATTCAATAACTAATTCATTGAAATGAGAGAATTCATAAAGGCAGCTCTGGGAGGTTGGCCTGAAAAGAGAGAGGTTTGTGGTTATATCTTATTTGATCTGCTTGGAGCTGAAAAAAAGCACTTTCTAATTGAGAAATGTGTAAGGAATTAGATGTGGTCTTTACATCTCCACCACAATTTTGATTTGTATCATACAAACTTTTATTTACAGAAATGTAAGATAAAGGGAAAAAGGAAGGAAGGAAAATTAGTGCAAAATTCATTTATGAGCTCTTCCTTGTCTCTTCTCGCCTGAAGTTGCTATTTAAGTTGATGTGTTGTCTTTTTCGCTTATAGTCTATAACATTGCTATCAAACTCTGTTTTGAAAATTTCTTTGCTACTGTGTTTTAGAACTTTTTTCTCAAAACAGGGTAAGAGGATTGAGCATACGTCACCCTATCGGAGGTTCTATGATTTTAAATTGGCTTGATTCACTCAGTGTCGAGAGTGAGTGTTATACAATTGCAAAGTTTGCTGCCAAGAAAACAGTGATTGTGACAAGTTAGGGCGACACGATTTTGACTCACTTCAAAATTCGCTGTCAAGAAAAGTGATTGTGACAAGTGATATTATTACCGTTTAGAAAATATACAAAATTTTCGTTCATAAAAATTGAATCGATCCACTCCGCATTTTTTTTATAGACATGGAAGACGAGGTTTTTATTTTATTTTATTTATTTTTCATAAATAATTATTTTGGTTATAAATAAAATTTGGCCTACCATGAAAGAAAAAAAAAAGTTTATTATTATTATTATTATTTTTTCAAAAAATGTTTTGAATTCAAGGGTAACGTGAACTTTTTAAACTTGAGAAGTAATTTTGGAACGTTACATACCGCTAATGAACTTCTCGCTTTAATTTGGATTTTACTGTTTAAAGTCCCACAGAGGAAATTAAGTTTTCGTCTAGGTATTCGACCCTTGTGAAATCGAAACTAAATGAGCTCTTAAACCATGTGAAGGGAGAGAGGGGAGGGCTCGTAAATATTGTTAAAAGCACCCCGTTATCCACCTCATGATCTCTCTCGTTATTGATGCAATTAGAGGAAAAAAAGAAATACGGTTTGTTATTAAGTAAGCAATATTTATTAATTACGACTTAAAAGGCAAGTCCCACGAAAACGCCAAAGTTGAGGTTACATGCTTGCCTCGCCACGCCCTTTACAACAAACACGCCAACTCCTTTACTACCATACCAAAAACCCTAAATCTTTTGAATATTTCCTACCTCCTTTGAAATCCTTTTGGAGGAAAAAAAAAATCAAGTTTTAACTTCAAATTTAAGATGTATCACTTCTCATGAAGAATGCACAACGTATTTTAAAACTATGAGGCTAACGACGATATGTAACGAGCCAAAGCAGACAATGTTTACTAGTAGTAGGTCTGAGTTGTTACAATTGATATCAAATCCAGACACGGTATGCCAGCAAGAAAATTGGACTCCAAAGGAGATGGATTGTGAGATCCCACATCGGATAATATCTAGTAGCGGTGGGCTTGAGTTGTTACATACAACTCAAAGATTATGCTATAAATTTTAGACTTCAGTGGCCAGGTCGGAAAGTTAATTTTCAAAAGAATTTAAATGTTATGATAATATTTATGCTTGTTTACACACAATATACAGCAGAAGCAGTGATCAAATCATACCCTAAATTTTTTTTAATTTAAAAAAGTGCATTGTTTATTTAATATATTTCATGAGATAAGCCAAAAAAAAAAAAAAAAAAAAAA